GGGGGAAGCTTCCTGTGGGCTATACCCGCAGCTTATTTAAGGAACCACACTGAGCAATTCCCAGCCAGTTCCTCACAAGCACATCCTTTGGGGGTGCGAGCATTTCATACCACCTAATGTGGCAAACTTCACCCTCAGTGCCTCTATGTAGGTTTAAATGCAGGTATTACTGGATAATCCCAATAAAGCTTCATTCTAGTCAAAACCAAAGCCACCAACTTGCTGGCGCTCAGCCCTACCTGCTAGGAATGAAGGCAGGAAAGCAGCAGCTCAGTCTTTGATGCCCAGCCCTGTCACTGCATCCAGCCACTCCAAGCCTTTCTCAGCAGGTCCAACTGACTCCATCCTGCTGCTGGCTCCCACCAAAGGGCAGTGGTGATGGATGAAGCAGGAGCTCCCCCAGGGCATCAGTGGCATGTGCTGTTTCCAGCCGCAGGGCACTATACAGGCTAAATAGACAGGCCAGCAGCTCCCCAGGGCCAGTACCAGCAGGGGCTCCCCATGGTGGCAGGGCTGGGCCTCACAGCCAGGACTCACTCCACCACTAACAAGAGAGCAGGACAGCCCCAGCCCTGGGCATCACCATGGGGATGGGGCCAGGTCAAGCAGTCCAGTCAGGCAGGGGGTGTCCATGGCCAGGCAAGGCCATGGCAGAGCTGGAGACCAGCACCACTACAGTGACAAGGGCAGAGACTGATGGCCTTGGGTTGGGCTGACATGAGCTCCTGGGCCTAGGTAGGGTGGGGGAGGTCTCAGGTGAGGCTAGTCAGGGCCATCAAGGCCCATTAGTACACTCAGGGCTCTGACACCCAGCATATACAGCTGGGATGTGCTGATTCAACATCTCACCCACTGAAGCACTTCATTTCTTGTCTGGAAAATAGCAGTCTGTCTGCTCTGTTATCTTTGGGCCGTTTATTCAGACTGAGGATTAAGCTCCCTGCAGGTGTGGACACATCTATCCTGGTTCCCTGCAGAGCAAGTTCAGGGCATCTGAGCCCAGGAGCTGTGCTACATGGTCACAGCGACGCTGCTTCCACACTCAGCTCGGATCAGGACACAACCACTTCCACGAAACCTGACACCTGAGCTGATAAAAACTCCTAGATGTGAGATGACCCCTCAGAGAGCAAAGCTGGAGGTCTCTTACGTTGTGTTCATTATTAGGAGCCCTGGGGACTATAACAAGGGGACATCCAAGTGGCTCCACATGCAAACTGCCCAGCCCTGTTGACAGTGGGTGCCGAGATAACAGGCTGTGCTGGGACCAAGCCAGCTCCCACCGAGTCACTCAGGTGTACGTGCGCTGCCAAGGCGAAGGAAGTTGCAGTGTGTTGCCAATGCACAGAGCCAACAAGAAGCCTGAAACAAATAACGAAATCACATGTGTGTTAATGTCAGTTTAGCCTGTTCTGTGAGCAATCTCCATGGACCTGGTTGTGTGTGTATGTGAAACCTACCGATACAATAAAGACACAGTTGCCTATATCCTAAGAAGTGGGGTGCCAAATGCCTTTTAGAGGATACGCCTTCATGACTAAATAAGGATGGTGCAGCCAGTGGAACTAACATTTTGTAGGATACCACTGAAAATCAATAGCAGGGCCAAAGACTGAGTCTTTCTCCAGCCTCTTTTGACCATTGCATGCCTCCATGTGCCTAAATAGTAGCTCTTCTGCGCTCAATTACCTTGAAATTAAGCTCCATACTATTCATCATGTGAATGAGCTGCCTGGCGTGGCAGGGGAATTATTATTTCCATTCCTCTGGGCATTCTTGCTGTTATATCACTTGTTTTCAACAACCTACGGATACTAGTGCAAAACAGTGAAGAGCAGAGTTCCTGACAGAGCATAACCCTTACTCCTAACGAAGTTTCCTGAGGATCCTGAAACTCTCCAGAGTTGCAATAGCAAACACCAGCACAAAGAGGAAGAAGTTGTATGAAGTCCTAGGCAAACAGCCTTAGCACCACCTGTCAGTCTTGCATTTGACTCAGATCTCCATCCTTTCCTCTGTCCCGAGACCCCTGTGAGAGTCCAAATGTTTGGCAGGCTACCATGAGGAAAGTCAAAGGAAGAGGTCAGGTGATGTCTAACTAGGCCAGGCTCTAAGCACCTAAGAGGAACTAAAAAATTCTACACAGCTCTCTGGCACTGGTGAATTATAAAATCAATCTGCTGTTGTGAACTAATGCAGCTCCTCAAAAACTTGATCTGCTCACCTTATCCCTGGTGCTAACAGCTCTTGGCATGATCCTTAAACTCTCATAACCAAATGTGCTACAGCTTCAGGCTTTATTTCTGCAGTAATTGTACTGCCTAGAGAAGAGAGAATTACCAGGAGTTTAAACACACTAGTGAAAACAGCCTACCTCGCAAGAGTTATGCTTGGGAAGCACTGGATTAGGGCCCCTGACCTGGGCTGTGTTTTGCTGCTCCAAACAAAATATTGGTTTAGCTCAGTTGTTTGGCAATGTTTCTGCCTGATCTGGGAGAAGCTAAGGTCTTAATAAATACACTGAAATTATGGGATTTGTAGGTCGTCCTTGGAATATCACGTGTGGGGGGGATGTGGACCAAAGGCATGGGGCACCAGCCATATCCATCATTTAGCTCTAGTTATGGGTCCTCCTTTCCCCCAGCGGCTCTGCTCCACCTTGGACTGGCTCCTGAGCTGGCCCAGGCCCAGGGCACACCTAAAAAACCTGCATAGGCACCCAGCTACCTTGACCTGTAACCCCTTACCACTACATCTTCCCACAGCCTGCAATGTCTCCAGATCCCTGACTGCCCCCTGTGGGAGCCTGGCATAAAGAAAGCTTTTACAAGTGGCTACAGTAACATCACAACCATATAAAAAGTACAGCAGGGACAGTTGAGTCTGTGGAAGAGTGAAGAGAGCTACAAACAAAACCCAATGCTAACTATCCACCTCCAGCACCTCTGTTAGTGTACTCATACAGGCAGCTGTATCACCTGTGGCTGATTGGACATGGCTGTGCCAATGTTGTGACTGATTCCTGTTAGTTGCTGCCTGTGCTGCAATCTTCTTGCTGAACAGCTACAACCACCAGAAGATATGTAGCACCTGCTTTCACAGGACACAGCTCTGGACATGTTCATTAGCTATGGATATGTTTGTTGGGTTGGACTGACTGTTTTCAGCCTAATTTCCCTTTATAGTGAGGTTTAATATATGCTAGCAGACTGTCACAAAATAGTAGTGGGACCTTTAACTTAGGAGTCTGTTTCATTATTTTAAGAGACATATGGAAGTCAAAGTCCCAGGACTCCACGGAGACTTCAGCTGTTCAAAAAGCTGCTCTTGAAAATATGTATCCTCTAGTTTTTAATATGACAATACCTTCACTTGAGTTGACCACATCTGGAATAGCACACAGCTGTATCAGCAATAAATACTTTTATCTGAAAAGAAGTGAATATGAAGAGAAGCACAAAGCATCTGAGTCTTTGTGTCTCCCAAGGCTTCACCTGTGCTACAAAAATGCTCTCACATCTGCTTGTGTGTGAACATGAGCAGCTGGCGGAGGCCAAGTGTGGTTTAGCTGCATGCGTGGACAAGGATGAAATGTGTCCAGGACAATTTCAGAGATGACAGTTTTCACCTCAGGAGGACTGAGGAGCAAGGGTCAGATTAATGTGGCTTCTGCTCATATCACCCAGTGGCGAGCAGCACTTTGCAGTTCCCCTGCTCCCACCCGCTGCCGGAGGATGCCCAGTGCCTTCATCTCTGCTGGCTGCTGCTCATTCTTGCTCCTAACCTGACACAGCTGGCCAAGCAGCAGGGAAAGGTAAACCTATGAAAGACACACCTAATGCTTTCAGGGCACGCTATATGTAATGTGCGATTTGTTTTGTCAGGATATTTACTCCTCAAATGCAAAAGATGTACAGTGATTCCGAAATGAGTAGGTGCGGATTTTGTAGCTGAAGGCACAACAGAATAATTGAATTGTCTCTCTCTTACCTGGCCAGAGGACTCATCTCCAACTTTGCCTTAGCTACCAGCTAATGTGCCAGTTAGTTACATTTTGATAATGCCTTGCTTCTGCAGCCTCTAGCTAACCACAAATTGATCCTGATGTGCAAAACCACCGACTGTCAATACTGAGTTGTTAGGATGCTTTTAACCAATCAACAGCACTCTGGATCCATCCATCCTCCCCTTCTGTGACTTTCCACTGAGATGCTTTTGACGCAACAAGCTGTGGCAGTTGGCCTTGCGAAGAGATCTGGAAAAGAAGGCTGGAGCTTCAGCTTTAAAAGCTAGAAGAGAAGGAACAAAACTGAGGTGGTCGCCTGTCAGTTGAACTGCAGGCCTTTCTTCCTTTCTGTTTAACCTTTGGATCTACAATGAATCATGAGTCATTGGCTAATTAATGCAAAGGTAGCTTTGCGCGCTGTCTTTTTTTTTCCTGTCCTTGTGCAGTTACATTTCTTTGTTGTTAATTAGCTCAAACCAAATTTCCCCAGAGACCTGGAGAGTTGGATCATCAGTCAGTAATCCAGTAATTCCCTTGGACACGCACGAGTCCCCCGTGTGCTGCTCTACAATTGCGTTTTGAAAGTTTAGCACTCCTCTATGACAGATAAAATCCATTTTAAGTTGTGATCAAAGTCCTCCTTGTCCTCAGAGCAAATTCCAGTGCAGTTATGTCAGTTGGCTGCAAATTACATCATACATTTGATCAGCAGAGATTCTCAAGATGTTACCCTCCAAGTTAAACCAAAAGCCTGTGCAAATGAAACTTTTTTTTTCCACAGGGAACGGGCTTTGAAACTTTCCCTGAAATAATCATCACAAAGCATGGCCTGAAAGTCTAAGTGATTTACCTGGACTTTTGTGTGAGGGTTGGCAGTTATCACTAGTAATTATAACTTTTTTATATCATACTAGGAGTCTGTAAAATACTAATTAGCTATCTGTAGTTAAATTCAAGAAAGAGCAAATCTCTGTTTTTAATGCCCCAGACAATACTACTAGGAAGCAAGGACTTCACTCCTCCTTTTTCAGCAAAGCAGTCCCTGGGCTGGAATGAGCTAGGGAAGATATTTTTTAACTGCTCCTGTTTGGTGTTGGTCTGAGTTAGATGGTAGTGACTTCACGGAGGTTCAAAGAGCTATCTATATCAGGAGTTCAGAAAAACTAGACCTGAGAAGTTACTTGTTAAAATGCCAAATCAAAGAAACTGAAGATCAAAGTGAAAAAAGCTTTCCTTTCAAATTTCTCTGAGAATCCTCAAATAGCATCAGTATTATTCTGCAGGACTCTTTTCAGGCATAAAATAAAATGTGTGCAATAGACCTGTATCACCTGCCAGTATTCCTAAAGCCAGTAGCACACCTTACATGAGCCTGGCGTCCTGAGCTGTTGGCAACGGTTCTTCTGTCACATGCATGTTTTCTTTTTTCCCTAGCGTAGTTGTGGGTATCTAAAGGGCACAAAGACCTCAGTCCTGAATTTTAAATGCAGTTTTGGGTATCATCAGTGCTTTCAACGTTTCCCTTCTTGGAGCGGACCAGCTGGAGCTGCTGAAAGACTCAAGAGTTTTGAGATGCTGTGGTTTTCTCTAAGGGTCCAAGCAGTAGTGTCCTTCCTGAGCCCAATCCCCATCAGTCTACACTTCCATGTCAACTTTTGGGATCAATTCTAAAACGACTGAGGGTAAATTCTGCTTTGCACTACAGGTATACAAAAGGCAAGCGTAAAAGACATGTAAGCGTCCCTATAGCTTAACACGTCAGTGGACCTCATGCCCCTTCATGTGGCAAGGGGACACCAGCTTCTGGCTGGGTCCTGACCTCTCTGCAGCCCTGTATGGAGGGGCCATCTTCTCTCAGGACACTTGGGATCATCCACATCGAAATGAAAGGCCCTGCTTTGTAAGCAGCTTTCACACCCTGGAGAGTGCAATTTAATTGTACTAAGCCAGCAGGTCACTAGATGGCCTCACAGCCTAAGCGATTTGGGCAGATCCAGGCTTAGGCTGTGTAATCACCAGATTTATTTTTAAAAACTGGCACCCAAAAAGCTGCAGAATTTATAATCATCCGGCTCCCACAAGGGCCTTCTCAAAAGCCAGTGTTTGAAAGCTGGGACACTTAGTGCCAGGGGATGCTTGAGAAAACCACGTTTGTCACTCGTGTTGTCAGAAACCACTTCTATTCCCAAAACCCCAGCAGATGGGATTGGGAGAGAAGGCAGAGACCCAGTGGGTGCCATCAAAGAACCTTGGGAGGCTCTCCAGCCCCTCTGTGGGACTTGCTAATCAACGGAGCAAGGTCAGTCCCCACAGGGAAGGACACTCGGAGGAGAAACCGGAAATCACCTTCGACCCCTGGCCTGGCCGGGCAGCATCGCCAGCTGGGGCCTGGCCCTGGAAGGTGGACCCACGCGAAAGGGAGAAGAACGCACACGTCCCTGCGTGCCCATCCATCCTCCATCCCCCCTCGACAGAGGCCGGGCGAGGAGGGGAGACGCAGCGAGGTTCGCGTCCTTGTCCAGCCACGGGCAAGTCTCTCGGTCACTGCCTGGCTCCAGTCCCTATTTCCACGATGGCGGAAACGCACTTTCCTGCCTCAGAGAAATGCTGGAGAAAAAATAAATAAACGAAACACCTGTTAAGCTATCAGGCGCATGGCTTTGGCAGAGCTGTACAAGTGCTTCAGTGAGTAACAATAATAACAGTGTTTTAAGGGAAAGACCCCCCCACCACCACCTTTGAAATGTGCATATTGAAGAGGGAGATCGGGGAGGAGAGAAATGGAGGGATTTTTAGAGCAACAGAAATATTAATTCAAGAGAAACAGACAGAAAGGAAAACAGAGGTTTAGCTTGCGTGACAGATAGGCCGGGCCCGGGTGCGTTGTCTGGCTGGTCTTTTAGCCGTCGGCACCTTCACAGGCTGCTGTCCTTCCGGAAAGATTGGGAAACTTCATTTGGGCCACACGGGGCTCGTCTGGCAGCGGCCTTGAGGCGATGTGGAAAAGAAGAAAAAAAGAAAAGAGAACTGCTCTTCGCGCCGGGGCCCCCGCCGCCG